ATAAGTATACCCAGCGGCGGTGTAAACGAGTATACCCAGCGGCAACAGTATGTATGCGTGTAAAAATGTCCCCTGCAGTGAAATTTAGAGACAGTCTGACAAAGCGCCCGTTCCGAACTACATATCTCAGAACTATCTCTGACAGTTGAAATTTGCGGTGTAAATGTGCAAATGCTCACTACTCGTACAATACGAAAGTAGCTCAGCGAGAAGGCCTCAGACTCAACCTTCGTTTGTCACGAGTTCAAATCGTGGTGGAGAGGCAGGTGCAGCTTACAATAATATTTTTTTATTATAAAATATGTAACAAACATGGAATCTGTAAAAGAAAAGAAAAAACGGAAAACGTTTTCTTATAATAAAAACTATCCAAAACGGAAATGGTTAGAAACTAGTTCCAAAGTAATGCACTGGGCGACAATTGCCACCGCCAATGACATCGCCGTGTAAAGCTGGACAGTTGAAAGCATTGTTCGGGTATTGCGCTAGAACTAGTACTGTCGGCAAAAGGTCTAGTTCTACATTAGTTCTGAGCTAAGCAGATTTTCTGCAGGGTCAATTCACGTTTGCGTTTAACCCATTTTAGCGGACATAGTTTTTTTGGTTTCAGCTCTTAATAACACACTATTTTACAAAGCTTTTTATGTTTAATCTTCATGGAAGTTACATGTATCGTCGAGAACATGGTTACATGCAGAATTTGAAATTAATTATTATTATCTTGGGCGCCATATTGGATTCATAATTGGATTTTTGAAAATTGACTTCAGCTTTGTTAAGACACAACTTATAAATGATATATATAATGCTAAATATAGAATAAATAACATTAATCTTTGATATTTAAATACACTTTATGTTATTTGGCACAACTGCTAGTTGGTCTGGTGAAATAAAAATGGCCGCCACTCTTTTTTGGAAGAAAATATTTCTTGGAAAATAAGCCGTGTTATTAAGGTGTTGATCATTTAGCAACCAAGTTTTATTATGTAATATTACATATGAAATCATCATTTTCCGTGTTTACGAAGTGACACAAAACCAGCAATATAAAAAAAAGAAATTGTTCACAATTGTTGTTCTTTGACATTGAAAATGACAATTAGCCTGTTCCCGTACTTCACGATTTGCACGATTTGCTGGTTTTACAGGAACAGCTGTTTTCGCCTTTAATAAGCCTTATGTGAACGTGGCAAACAGGAACGACTTTGGATTAAATCCTGCAAAACCTGCAAATCGTAGGCGTTCTGGAACGCACTAAGTGTGTGTGTGAGTTTGAGTTTTTAAATTATATAGCTGGCAAACATCAAACTGCCTCTCAGTGGTTTTACTTTTTTTTTATCATGATTGAAAGATTCCATAAAAAAAAAAAATGTAAAGAAATCAACTCATAACTGTTAGAAGGTGCCTAGATCGAATTCGTTTAATTAAACGGATTGGAAAACTCAACGCTTAGCGCTCCAATTTAGGGACTGCAGTAAGTATAATTTCTGCGTTCTCGACTAATTTAAGTACTACTCATTCAGTGTAGGTCTCTGGTACGTAACCGTATAGATTGCGTATAGAGCTAATTGTTGCAAATTATTTGCTGCATTGGATTTAACACACATTCTTCCTTCCCCTAGGAATTAATTCAGAATACATTGAATATTTAATTTGCTTGTTGCGCAAACAGAAGCTCTACATTAAAGGTGGAACATTACAAAACTACGAGTATCTTTACAATAGTTTTATTCAATACGGAATATATCTATTTAGAGTTTGCTTATCGATATCATGTTTGTGAAGGTTGAAAATTTCTTTAAAAAATATCACTTAATATACTTATCCATGAACTTTTTGTGAAATTCACTGCGAAGCGAGTCATTGATGAAATGCGTCTTTTTTTCCGGTTCAGTGCGAGCACAATTTTTAAATACGACATCATCGTCCCAACGTCGCTTCACCTTCAGATCACTACCCAGATTTTTACTAGCAGTCGCACCACTACCCGGAGCATAATTAATTAGTGGATTCCCGGATAAAATGTTTTCCATGCGTATACGTTCTTCTTCCTGTTTCTTTTCTTGATCTTTTCGTGACTCTTCTTGCAAGCGTTCCTGTTTTATTTTATTCAATTCTGCTAATAATGCAGCGGTGTCGTCCTCTTCCTCCGAATCTGAATCCTCTTCGGAGCTGTCTTTGTCTATAGGATCGTCAGCATCTAGATTTACAGGCGCAGTTGGTTGTTCCAGACGAGCACGTTTTGCAACACCTACATTACTACCAGCTGAATTATTGGCTTCAATTGCTTTCCGTACAATTGATGGTAGTGTTTTGTTGGGACGAGCTTCGCGTTCACGATCCTCCAACTCTTTACGGAAATCACGACTGCGCAACTCATCAGTAGTACCTTGTCCTGTTTCTCTGTATAGAAAACGGAACTTTTAATTTTGAAATCATTCAACGAAACTAATCAATGTACCTGTATTTGAGTTTTGTGTGCCCTGGTAAATCTCTGCTGGAATATTGCTTGGAAAGTGCGCTCAAATCTTTTTCGCCTCGGCCAGTGCCACCGCGTGCAGGATCAAATGTTGGACGAGCTGCTGTTGTCATTATGCTAAGCTATTTTATGGATTCCAATGAAAGGCTTTTATTTGTATTTATTCCTCTAAATTTTAATACCAATCAGCCTTTATTTTTTATAAACGTTTAATCTCTTTCTTCTTCTTTTTCGTTATGTGGCTTACAATAGACTACAGCTCTCTAGGGTATGTTCTGAAAGCTAATTTACCTTAATAGTGCAATTAGTCTCTAACATACAACTTAATTAAATTTTATGCTTCTGCATGAAAACTCGAATTTGGACGAAAAAAAAAATATTAAACCGGCTCATTGTCAACCACGGTTGCCCCTTCTTACAAAAATAACCAACCAAAATCTGAAGAAAAAACAACCAAATTTGTTATCCACTTATCTATTGCAAAAATTAAAACTTATTACAAAAAAAGAAAAAAATTCAAGAACTTTATTGAAAATTTTGTGGAACAACAATATTAATTTAAATTTTGGTAGAAGTTATAGCTGCTATTTCGGAAATCAAAAATAATTGAAATACTTGAGCGTTCAATCACATATTTTTTTTATATATAGGTAAGCACCTTACGAGGTAATCCATGTTTTCTTTCAGCTTTTAGTACCAAAATCGTCATCATGACCAATTTCATGTACTAGTAAAGCAAAAATTGAACACCTCCGAAGCAGTAGCAAAACAACGTGCCGCCGAAGTCATTTCCAAGCGCCGAACTACTCCGAGCGACTGCTCTACACCTGACTGTGATACTGCCGTCCCTAAATTGGAGCGCTAAGCGTTGCGTTATCCATTGTCAACGAGTGTCAGCGCGCGCTATCCCCAAATCAACACGATCCAGAAAATAAAGGTCGCGCCATTCGCGTACCGCTAACCCTCTCTTCGTCGATTTGACAGCATCCACCCAATCGCTGACGTCATCACATGAACCAAAAAGACAAGATCACGCGGGCAGGAGATTGGCCCGTTAGAAAAAAAAGTTGAACGATTTTGACATTAGCCGTTTTTTTACATTTCTTCGTTGTTTACAATTTGGTGGTGGCTTTTTACTACA